CTTCTACGTTTTTATTTGCACAGGAAATCCACTCTCGAATTTTAGAACTAAAAGAACTACTAACTTTTGGCATTTTGTACTTTCGAAATTTTATATAAATTAGTATAATTTTTAATACGGCAACTAATCAATGCCGATGTCAATTGCCAGCACGGTTGTAACTCGAGAACAGCTTATTTAATAAACTGTAGGTAACATTATAAAATTAAATGAATTATTTCGATAACGAAGATATAACGATTAGATTACAACAGATGAACTATCTATTTCTTTTAATATAATGGGATTACCACAACTATTTCTAATGTATATATAATATGTAAAATATGTTACATATAATACGTATTTTAAATTGAGATAGCTAAAACTGTGTCGTTAATTCCGCGTCCTATATACCGATTACCGATCATAAATATTTCGCTACTGCGCATTCATTGAAATTATATGTAATAAATATGCATTTATAGACAAATATGCAAAATAAAAATTCAACAGTGAATTCTAACTTGTATGATTCGTGGAGATGATTAACAAAAATTCAAAAAAAGGAAAAAAATATGAAAAAACCTAGGAATTCGGACGCTAATCATTACTTTATATAATAAAATTGAATTAATACACCTCATTATTAGTATTATATAATAATAATAATAATATAATATATATATATAATATATATTTATTTTTATTTTTAACAAACAGATAAATTATTGTGACTGGATATTTTTTATGAACGCTTGTTTATGACAACCAGTCAATCGGAATTGTCCTATATTCGGCCCCTTAAATCTTAATTAAGTTTTTAGTCCGACGATAAGTCTATAAAAATATAAAAAAAAAGTTTTAATAAAATCTGTCACTTTTCTAACGCACCTATAATAAAAATGTATTTTATGAGATATAAAATGTGCACACCAAATCGATATTTTGATACATCATCGTCATAAATATTTTTATGTTTGAAATTCAGATACCTACCAAGGAATATTTTTATTTTTTTGTACAGCATCAACAATTAATAGTTTGAACAATAATAATTTTACTAAATATTTTTAGACATATTAAATTACTTAGATCGAGTAATACGTAMGAAAGAATTTTAGAATTACAATTTACTTTTTTTTCTGAAGTTTCCAGACAGTTGGACTCAGAGCTTCGGGTTCTCTGGAATCCCGGGACCACTTCTGATTTATATGCAGCTTCGACGGTGTATGAAGAGGCGACTGACTATGAGAGGTTCTCCTCAGGTTTGGCACAAGGTGCAGGGTTCTTCTCTTCGCATAATATATCCATCCACTGCCTAGGTATATTGTCATCTGTATAGTTTTCAAATAATATAATATCACGATGATGCGCATTCTTCTACAAAAGAAAGTCTAGAGACTAGGTCAGAAGGCCCACCAGGGCCCGACGTTCATGTGAATATTAATTATTTCAAAATTACTTCAATATTTATATTACTGTACCAGGGCCAAAAATGTTATGTGGGTGTAAGAGGGGGGAGGGGGCTGATCGTTAGCAAAAAATCGTTGGGGCGCGTGTGGACTGTGTGGGGATGTATGTCAAACACACCCATCATGTAGTTGTTAACTATCCTTCCTCCTATACGCTGTTTCATTCCAGAGATGACGATGCCCAATCACAGATCGGTTCGGTTATATGGGTTAGGATAGGTTCATCAGGACATTCAGGTGATAATGATATAATATACTGCCGCGCAATAGTAATAGTATTTTGAATACGCGTGCACTATCAAACTTTAGGAATATATATATACATATATAGCACGTCGTCCGATAGGTAGGAAATGAAGCGATCAAACTATACGCACACATACGAATACAATTTGCATTATTCAAAAGACCACAAACATTTTCGGTTAGGCGTATACAACCACGTCATGTACACATGTTCGCTTATTAAATTCGTAATAATAATATCATATATAACATACCATAGCGACGATGAAGTGCATTACACGCTATTATAATATTATAGTTGTTGGCATAGTGTACATTTGTATAGTTCGTGCGAGCGCAGGTTCAGTAATTGATTTAGTGTGGTTTACCACTCCACTAAGACACACTTGGATATATTATAATAATAATAATTATTATTTGATTTTGTGCCGTATAGAATAAGCCAACCGCAGAGTAGGTACGTATTATATAGTCCTCCTCGAAAGTTCTCGACGACCGTCGGCTGGTCTAAACGCGCGTCGGAATCTATCACTTATCGGATCTAGACCAATATGATGATGGCTACGAATCTGTGCAGACTGCAGGCACTCGAGAGCGCAGTCGATGACACAAAATCTAATCAAATATTGAAATATAATGTACCATCCTAGCCAGCGATCTCGCGTTTTTCGTTTTCACACGGTTTAGTGTTGTCTTTTTGTATAGGTCACGGCGCAACGTCAATTGCACGGTAGCGTGTATGATGGTGCAGGTCAGGAGAGGAGAGTGGGCTCCTAATAAGGGTCTGAGTGTCGGGTTTAGGTCCCTCCCCGGCCCGAGCTTTGGTCGTTTTTATTTCCAAACTATCGGGAGAAAAATAATTTACCGTTTTTGATAAAATATTTTATATCTGATGACCGAAATCGAAACCATCTGCAGCGATCATTTTTCCAACACAGGACGCGTGCTCTGACGATCGTCTATGTAGCAGTGGCCACGAAAAGTTTTTCCATCGCATTATATTATTGTCTAGTTATCATAAATTGTTTTAAATAAATATTTTCTGTTTGCCTAAAATGAGTACTTATATATGATGACCGCGAATACGCATATTCGTATTATCCAAGATTTTTTTATTCTATGATTCGAATCGTGTTGAAAAATTAGTTGTTAAAATAAAATTTCAAGGCACGCCCTTTGGGAAACACTGCGSAGAAACCTCCGTGACTTTCTCTTTCGCTGCGTCTCAAATTTAAAATTGTAATGGCCGTCGTTATCTGCAATATGTGGATATGACATAATATCTCATATAACGATAAACGCTTAAATAAAACATTAGATTTTATAAGGTGGAGTGACCCAAACGTGAGCCTGACTATTTGAGTTGTTTAGATCTAACAACAGGCGAAGGTATATATTATACCGACCCAACCGTACATCAATCATTAACGGTTGAAATATAAAACATTATTTACACATCAGTACATCACTCGTTTATAAACATTTAAATGCGATAAAAAAAACCGTCATATACTCTTAGGTACGATAAGTGTTTAATAAATATTATTTGTCAATCGTACTCAATATAATATTAAAGCTAACTACACAAAATCGTTTATATTGTGCTTAACGGCCAATTCGTGAGCTGTAAAACACAGACAACACGTAATGCAGGTGTGACCTCTTGATTTAATACTGCAATTGTACTTTAAATTTCGATATGCGTATATTTTTAACATGATTTTTCACAATTATCACATACACTAAATTCGACATTTCATAACGTACATTCTGTTTTGTACGGCACAATTTTAACACCTGCAGGATTAAAAAAGTTTCAAAAACAATAAAAAAGTTTACTCTACTTATACGTAATTATATAAATCTCCCTCCGACAAACTAATCCTAATGACACTATATACTGCTGTGAACCGAGCGTTTCGTGCGTGCGTACCTATGCCTACGAATCTAAATCAGAAATTATGATTCAAAAAACAAAGATAAGAACAAAGAGGCGAGCTTAGTATTTTCGTTTTGAATTTATTATGTGATATTGATATAAAATAAAACAGTGAAACAACATTTGAATTTCAATGGTTTTTAGTATTTTAAATGTCATTCAGAAGGGAATTGTGTGATTGATTACGTTAAAAGTATATTACATTTATTATTACATAAATATATAATCACTTTTGAGGTGGGTAAGTTTTTTGAGAGTTAAACGCTTTAAAAATACTCTGAAAAATTAAAATACTTTATAAAATACTATTATATGTAAGTCTGCAAAGTGCTTGTGGACTTAAAGTAATCCACTTGCTATTTTATGTCTATTTTACAATCACACATAGTCGCACCTTCGATTTTAGTTCAACATCATCACCATAATTTGACCAGTTAACATATTTTTTTAATTCTTCATTATAACTGTATTGTTTCCGTGCACCACCATCGCATGCACTTCAAATTATTACTATTATTACATATAGAGAAGTCGAACGTGTAAAAAAATGTATACGTTTAACGTTTTTGTTTACAGTTTTTGGCAATCTGAATATTATTTTTTTTTCTCAAAAATATTTGTACTCTCTTATTATATCGTAAAATTTGAATACAATGGATTTCTATCAAAATTTAATATAAATCACATAATCACTCATTAATCATATTTTTAATATCACAATATTATCTCCGTACAGTTTTAATATTTCAAAATAATTATTTACTGAATAATATTATTCCATCACGCGAATATGCATTTTAATTACCTACTGTTAAATAATAACAATTCTATGTCAATAAGACGCATATTGCGGATACGATTTAATTGAATTTCTACTGACTATTTTACATCAGTTAAATGGCAGCCATAAATATTTAATCATCAATTTATCAAAATGTTTGTATATATATTAGGTATGTTATATAAATATTACTTAAAATAGGAAATGGATGAATACGGCAACGTTTGTTACGGTTAGTTCATAATAGTATAGGAAGAAAAAATGAGGTACCAACAGAGAGTAAATAGTAATTTAAAAAATGATTATACACTTTAAAAACATATTTATAAATGCTCCGAATGTTTTCAGGCCATTACAAACATTGGTAAATTGCGGTCTATTTAGTAAAATATGAAAAACAAAAAATATATAATCATAGTTTAAATTTTTCTTATTAAACAGAAAAACAAGCTGAGCACAAATAAAGTTATGGTTGAAGTTTATAATAATATACATATTTGATTCGCAAAAAATTAATTTCAATATAATCCATCAATGCAAATCAATAAAAACCTAACCTGAATTTATATTTTTTTTTCAGATTGAAGCTCACATTTTCATGTATGATGGACCTGTCTAAATTTCCATTGGATAATCAAATTTGCACAATGGAAGTGGCCAGTTGTAAGTTTCATCACATTATTTTATTGAAACATAATACTAATGGTTTTTTCTACACAAAAAAAAAAAAAACTTTTTTTTAAATTATTAACTTTTCACTTAAAATATTTTGTCATAAAATGTATATCAGTATAATAGCTAATGCAATGTGCTTTATCAATGTGTTTTAGATTATATTCTAGAGAGAAAGAGTTATTTTAGTAATATTATTTTAAAGGAAATCTAAAAACTTACATTAATTTTAAAATAATTTTTTTTTAAATCTTATGTTGACAATACTTTTTAATCATAATTCATAATACTCGTAATTGAATAAAGAGTTAAAATAGCTAAAATATATATAAATTCGTAAGCTAGTTTAAAATTTAAAAATAAGTTAATGTTGATTTTTTAAGCTTTTAAACTTAAATATAGTAAAATTATTTTCTTGTTAAATTAATAATTTTACAAGTTAAATTATCCAATATATCATAAATTTAAGCAATTTCCAAACAATTAAAAAATAATAAGTTAACTTTGACTTTTTTATTTAGAAATAATTTATTTACAATCTATATTACAATACATAGGGAACAATTAGTACGTATGATAACTAAGATGACAATGACTATATTTACAATAATTAACGTTAATAGGAAATTTCCCAGCGATGTCACCTAACAAGTTTATAAATTATATTTAGTCTATACAAATAATTTAACTTGATACCATTTCTAAAGTTTATACATACCTACAGTTACCTGTTTAGCAGTTAAAAACTAATTAGTACATTTTTTGCAATAATTTAGGAGACACGAACATGTAATTGAATCCACTACAGCTAGTAAGCAACATGAAAGAATAGCTGCGTGTATAACAAATGTTGAATTAGGTATTATTTGAAAAAATTTAAGTTGCGTGATCTCAATGTGTGATTCATTTCAATCGAGTTCAGTTAATACTTTTATCTATAATAACTTAAAAGTTTTAGAGTTAATAACATATATTGTTTTAACTAATCAACTACCTAATAATTTATAATGTTTTGACTACTGCGCTTAAATAACTAATTCAAGTTAATTAATTTCGTTTCAAACTTTTGAATATTATAAATATTAAATATCATATTTCAATACAAAAATAAATTGAGTGCAATTTATACATAAAAGGTATAGAAATACGAGTAGATTAAAATTACAAAGGTATTCATAATATTCATGAGGGAAACCCTTGTTAACTAAACTAATTTTTTTTAAACGATTTTTTCCAATAGATTCTATTCACAGTATTGTTTATATTAAGTGTTTTCAGAAATCATTATATGCTAGAAAACTATTCTATATTTTATATTTAATTTTTTTTTATTTCTAGAGGAAAAGATACAATTTATTTTAACGTTGAAAAAACACTGACGCCTTAAAATTATTTTTTTGGTTTTAGTTCCGTAATTTATATTTCGATTACGTATTGGAGTTTATATTTCAAGACACGGTCCTATTTTTTTTCGAAATGAACGCGTTTTCCTTTTATAACTTTTATTATAACTACTTAATTTTCGTATTTTCCATCAGTGTTACTCATCAATGTATTTAGAAAATAAGAAGTTTAATGCTAAATAGGTTACATTGATTTTTCAAACAATTTCTTATCAGCATATACCTACAAAAAAATTAAAATATAAATTACCATTTTCTGAAACATTTAGACTTGGAGGTTATATTGTTCAATATCCACATTCCTATGAATTAAACGCTAAAGTTAAATAGAGTAAATATTCATAATTTTAAAATTGCATCGCTTCTACCTACGTAGTATAAGTAATGTTAGTAACGTTCACATAAATACAAAGGCTGACAATTATATCCATAATTGATACCTAGCCAAAAACATTTTGAAATCGAATTTAGTATGGTATTTTATTAGCATCCGCACGATGCTGTCCAATTTTGGTAAAATATCCACTCTAGGAGTATAAATTGATTTAAAATAAACCCGGCTTATCTGAAGAAATATTTGTGGTTATTGTTTGGTTGTGCTTCGTTTCGTTTCAACATATTATGATAACAATATATACTTCTACTTAATATTTGTGTACGATTATCAATTTTTGGGTTTCGCCTCCTCATACTGTTATTTGTTAAACTGCCTTATTGATTTTCAATTTGCATGTGACATCCAGTTAGTAATTCCAAATTTAGATTCACAAAAAGATTGTTTTTCAAAAAATATCGATAGTTTACATTAGATCTAATGTATTATAAATTGTAATATTTAAATCTTTTGTCTAGAGTAACAAGGAGAGTTAAACATTCTATATTAGCAGTACATAAGTATTTGTATTTTCGTATACGAATCCGCTTGCTTTCTACTCAGGCCTAACCATCAAATAATGATTATGCCTAGTTAATGTCATAATTAGTTTTGTAACAAAACAATCAATATTTTCAGAAAATAATATTATGATATTGATATGGCTAATCATTATGTCTAGCAAATAGTTGAAACAATCTGCACAGATCTGATACCTCTAAAACATTGTTTATAGTGTAAAATGTTGTCCAAGCTGCAGTATTTGCCTAAAACTTATGACCAAAGATAGATAAAAAATTAATAAGTTCATTTTAGATACACCAAAGTTTATCTTTCAGTGAAGTATTTAATTTCAAAGCCCCAAGTAGGAGAAACCACCAACCAACAATACAACGCGTTTAGTTTAATCCTGTTGACGAACAAAGCAAAGATATCTACAGGGACATGTAATCTTCTTAATAATCCTTTACGTATGTACAATACGTAAGGTTTGAAACGTTATTTCATTAATTTTGACTAGACAAAAATATATTGCCAATAAACCACGTTAAAATACAGCTCTGAATTTCTGAAAATATCTTACAACTTAATTTGAATTGGACTTAAAATGTATTTTATAAATTCACATTCATATACGTCATGTTTTAGTTTTCTTAACATTATACAAAGTATCGTCCAGTAATTATTAATTATCTGTGCGAAAAATATCGGTATTAACATACTTTACTTTCGAAATATATTATTTTTTTTCGTTTGAACATTTAAATCAAATAAACCGTAAAATATTTCAAAAGTCACGATTCAATATTAATATTTCAATTCTTAAATACTATTTAATAAAATATATTATAATATTATTATACGTGTAATTTACGTATTGCATTAAATTACAAGTTCCATTGTATAATTTGGTAAAGAAGTAATACCTAATAGGGCATATTATGTAAAAATAATAAAAGCGATTTCATGATATGATCACAAACTTTTTCAGAAAAAAATCATCTAGAATATTTTTTATAATAATATGACGTAAAGCTCATTATTCCCAAAGAGAACACAAACTTAAAAATAATTCCATGAAAAACAGTTGTGAATGTTTTGACAGAAATATCACGTATTTCAATATTGATAATATTGACTTGTGTTATTATGACATAATATTTTACCTATTTATTTACATTACGTGTTTCTTGAAAAATTGTCTTTTTCGCAATGGAGAAATAACTGAATGAGCGTTTGTTAAAATTGACCCAAATCTTGGACATGTTTAAAAGTTAATAATCCTTGAAATGATCTTCTGATATCTAATCATTTTACGTGTATCGCTTTAGTTTCAAAAACTATTGAAGAACTTCGATTGGAGTGGAAAAATACGGATCCTGTACTAATGGCCAAAGGATTGAGAATGCCACAGTTTGAAATTGTAGACATCGTGCCTTCTGACTGTCAAGAATCATTTCAAATAGGTACGTAAATTATTTACTTACAATAAGCCGTAAAATTTAAGTTATAGTAAGTGATAGCAAATGAATGAACGGTTATATTTATATTGAATTATACATGATATATAATATATATTATATTCGAACAATTTAAAAAAATGTTACCATATTGGTAAGTATTTTGAAACGGTATTAATCTTTAAGTTTTTTTATCCTTGCCCTTTGTGATTTTGGATTACAAAACTTAAAATGTAATTATTCGGGTTAGGTGTCTTTACGAAAATTTAAACGATATTTGACCAAATTCAACAACATCGTCTTTTTGACTGACTATTTTCGCTTTAACCGTTATTCGTATACAGTTTTTTAAGATCAAAAACTATAATTTATGACTGCAATTAAGTCTTTGTTTTCACTAAATGCGTTCTTATTCAGAAATATAGAATAAGAATATATTCAGGTAATTTTCGTATATAATACATAAGCAGTGATGCAACTGCAGATATTATTTCTGTAAATTCTACGTAACAAATCAGAGTTGCATGATTTCTATTTTGATTTCAGTCGTCAAACGGTACATAGATACAACGGTGAACATGCGACTTACGCTTTACGTAGATTTTATTCGCATAAAACACAGAGAGAAACATTTTTCAAAAATGCATAATTCCCCCCTCCACCACAAGGAAAATGAATCCTGATTGCCTGAATTCCGTTAAATATATCAATATCACAAATATAGTAATAACAGACATAATGTATAAAAAAAACATACGATTCACGTAAAGCATCAAAATTCTATGGACATTTCGTAAAGCAATCAATGAATTTTATGTTTTGCAGCCTTACTTACACAAAAAATAAACAGTAAATAGCTAGTGCATGTTTGAACTGATGATGGAAACATGGAAATGTTTTTATTTTTCGAAAATTTAGATTTAAAACCTAGAATTGATTTTCTATATTTTCAAACGTCACGATTTTTATTTATTTTGTTTGACAAAAGACCAAATATTTCCAAACGGCTCAGGAATATAAAAATCCAATAAATAAATTCCCAATATCCTAATCCTGGAAAAGATAGTAAAATTTTTTTTTTTTTTATCATTTATTAAATCTGACTGCAGCAAACAATTGTATAAAAAATATAGTTTCGTCGCATTTATGAATTCATATAAATATATACCTATCAATAATTTTTTTCAAACAAAATTTGGCAGTACGTAAAATAGCGTTAAACTATTAAACGCATGATTTCATAATAATATACGACAGCTGCCTTTATGTGAACCAATGACATAATATTTTTATTTTAAAAATATTTTTTTAATGATAAACTATTTAGTTTTTCCATTTAGTCAAAATTATAAATTATTAATGCAGACTTTTCTTAAATATGACGATTATAAAGTGAATTTACAAATTAATAAAACGTACCTAACATTACGAATAAACGAAAATTAGAAAAACCTAAGTCCAATGTACATTGCGATCTTCGTAATAATTTGTTTGTTACATTTATCAAACAATATTATTTAATACCTACCTTTATAAACCGTTGTTCTGTATTGTGCATTTGAAATATGAAAATCAATAGAAAAGCCTTTCGACGTGTTTTTACATATTATTTTAAATAAGCATACAATCCATACATATTATTTGTGTAGCATTCATTCAGACGTATATAATATATAAAATAAATAAATTAACAAGGTTGTTAAAAGTAAAAAAAAAAAAACTAAACCAATTCAGATGTACAATAAAAAATAACATAAAATAAATCCGATTTTTAGCGTTGGAAACGTTATCTTAATTTGAACTGTTATGTATTGTTATTATAAGCTATAAGTTAACAGCACTGTTCTATATAGCTGCGTTTCTCAACCTACTATTAACGTACCACCTAACCTTACCACCATTGGTAAGTGAAAAGCTCATAGATGATACGCTAAAAAAATCTCGCTTTATAAAAAAAATGGAATGGATCATTAAATATACTATATATATTATTTAGTTTATTTGATATTAATCATAATTTTTGCACATATTTATATGTATATAAACTTTATATTATAAAATATATAATATCTATAAAAAAAAAAACATTATTTAGTCAAGTGGAACATGATAATTTTCAAATTGTCCAGGTGATAAAAAGGTTGAAAACCGCTGATATAAAGTATAAATATAAATATAATCTTCTCTCGAAGGTTCGACTGCAACAAATTTCAAATTATTTAATGTACTACCAGTGGATCTATTCAAAAAAATTGCCATCCTATCCGTAAAAAATTCAAATAACTGGGTGTTACCTACACGAAAGTGCAAACAAGAGAAAAACCGTAGCATATAATAATAGTAAAGTAATTTATTTCAAAAAAATCTTTTGGTCAAAGATTCGTGGATTATCTTGGTCTAACTTATTTTAATTATATGCCTACGATTACAAAAAAGAACATATTATCCGTCGATTGTCTAATACCAAAACGTCAGTTACAAACTTACAAAGTGGTTATTTATGTCTCTATATTAAAAAGTATTGTGACACTCTAGAAAATTTTTTTTTCTGATCTTATTTATTTTTACTTTATTATATTCATACATTTTGTATCTTATCATATATATAATTAATTTATAAATTTCAATATATTATATTATATAATATAACTCTCTACCTTCAATACAAGCTAATGCTTACAGAAGGTAGATAAATTGTAATATATTTATGTCTTTAAATTGTATATATGTATTTGAGAAAAATTGTAATATGTAAAAAAAAATATTTTCAAAAGTACTATATATTAGATAATAAACTCAGCATTTATTAAAAGTCGCTTATTTGTTGGGAGATAATATACGTGGTGGTCGGTATATAATATATATATATATATATTATTTTGAGTATAATTTAAAACACTGTTGTATAAACGTTTCGTTGTACGTACCTATATATGGTGGTAAAAATAACTGCAGCACTTGTTGTTTTCTGATTCAGTCACTATACCGCTTCGTTTTGGGTGTTCATATTACGACGAGTAATATTATACAAAGGTGTTGTAACGCAAGAAGACATCATCACGAGCTCTTTCTTAACCAGTTTACCATGTTAAACCATAATAATTTCGGAGCCAACTAAATTAAGACGAACAATTTTATTCGAAATTAAATTACAGACAACTATATATAGAAACTATATACACATTACGATCAAATGAACTTGAAACGGAAACGCGTGTACACACAATGCGTCCATTATTCATGTGAAGTTTCTTGGGCATTATAATCTCTCACGAATTTCACTAATACAACAGCTGCAGGGACGTTTGTATTTAAATATAAATTTTACGTTCGGCCGATTGGCGAAACCTGGTCGGTTTACCTGATAGTTTTCACACAAGTATTCCAGAAGAAATCGCAACGAATAAATACAATATTTCACGTCATATTACACTTTGTTGGGTTATAATATTATATTGTGTACCAACTCGCGATTAGTCGGGAAAAACTTTTCAGATACAACGCATGCAAAATAATTGTCAAACCGCAACGACGTTTTATTCGACACACGTATACGACATATTATTATAATGTAATTTTGAACAAATATGTCGGTTTGTTGTTTCGTGAATTTTTGTTTATTTTCTCAGCACATTTCACTGCTCTCCCAGTCGTTTGGTCTACTCGGCGTATGTGGAACACTGAAAATATTAATGATATATTATATTATATAAAAACAATAAGATATTATTGTAACACGTTATTTATTTGTACGTCGATGTATTATGTCGTTTTCGTGTTTGAACAGTATACATTCGTCCATAAATTACAAAACTTTTAACTCGCCGTTTATCCAATGACAAACGGCACAACATTTGGCTGTATTAATATTCAGCGAGTTGTGTGTAGAAATTCAAAATAATGGCTATCATCGTGTCCCGACGTCGGAGCACGTCGTACCTGCCTGGAAATGAAATAGCGTTCAACGTTTTTTTTTTATTTAATTTTTTATTAGTTTTAAAATTAAAAACAATTTCAAATTAAATTATGTATAATAATAATATTTATCGCGTTGTGCTAACCTCAGGACATCTGTTGATGTTCATTTTTCAACACGAGAAATGATCAGAACTCCATTAACTAAAAATAATAATTTCAATTTGCATTATGCTTTTTTAATATCTAAGGGTATATAGCGCCGCAACATTATAAAATATTGTTGTACATAAAAAATATCAACGTAGGTGACGTTTGTGAGAATAAAAAATAAAAACATAATTAACCTATACCAATATACTTAAATATAAAAAACATATTTTTTAAATTATAAAAAAACATTCAAGTAGTCATTTAATTTAGGTTGACACCTGAATTATTCAAGCAAACTATAAAACGCAAAATGAATATTGCATACCGCATGTGCGTCAGCATGATTTATTAACTACAAAAAACCCACGGTTACTTATGAAATTTCTGACTTTAATCGTGTTTTTTTTTTGTTGCCCTCATAAAAATTATAACAGTATTTTTTATTATCGTTCTTAAAAACGTTCCTTTCTTTATGATTATCGGAACAGTACGCCAACAAGGTGAACTTTTGAATTTCAAATGGGTGTAATATCAATGCCACCATGTATTTTGTTTATATTTCTTAATTCATTTGAACAAAATACCATCTTATTCATTCTAATGTGGGTTATACCACTAGTATAGCATCGGTATCTGCCATGATATTTGCATTTGATATGAATGAAGTTTAGAGAGTGTAAAAACTGACTATTTCAACAATATCCCACTTCGCAACCATCTAATTCAATCGGTCTATATACTCTATAAATATAATAATAATATAATACTAAAACGTAACAATATTCAGCGTATTATGATTTTCCGKAAAACCCCAAGTAACTTTAATAATTTTTTGAAATTATTTATCTTCCAATAAATAATAAACCATTGGATATAATTGTATAATTATTATTCATTAATTACCCATCCACATCCAACACATGATAACAACTATCGTA